GTGAAGTACACAAGCCAAGAGAGGATGAGAAATAAAACTGAGGAGCTCTGCTGGAACTAGAACTTGAAATATTTTGTATGAGGCCTGAGTATGTTAAATTTCTTCACCTTAAAGACTGTGAATGTAGGACTGAGTACTTGCTGCACTGTGGAGAATGAAGTAGAGGAGGTCAGTCAAAAGCATCCCGGGATAATCAAAGCGGAAGGAAGCAACGATAAGAGGATGTAGTGCTCTTTTACCCTCCTGAAAGCACTTGTTCCATATTGCCTTGTTTTCAATTCAATTTTTAAAATTAATCATCTTTATGGCATCTATCACATCTTAATTTATTCATTCAATATGTATTCGACAACGATGACATTCCAGAGCAACTCAGTCCTGGGGCTACTGCTGTGACCAGCAAGTCAGATCCTTCTCATGGAAATATTTATCTGCAGGGGTCGAAGGAAGGAGTGAAATAATGTAATTAACAAAGAGGCAAGTTAATCTTAACCAATGAGAGGTAAGTATCCAAAAGCAAATAAAATGGGTCTATGTGAAAGAGTATGTAGAGGGCACTTCCTCTCGGAAGTGAAGCTGAGGAGGTCTGTGAACAGTGACAGCCACCATGAAAAGAACTGGGCAAGAGCATGCCTGGGACAAGGAGGAGCAACGGCAGAGTTCCTGGAGTGAGAGCTTTGGTGGCAAGGGCAGAAGGATGTGAATTTCACAGGTGATAGAGCAGAGGAAGATTCAGGGGACAGTGGCGCATGAGAAGTGGGAAGGGTAGGCAGCAACTAAGGCCCAGGCACTTTCTTGCCCCCGGTTAGGAGCTTGGACTTTATTCTAAAGTCTCCTAAGCAGTCACTGGAAGGCATTAAGCAAGTGAGTATCATAACGTGATTTAATCTTTACCCAATTCATTTGACTGTTGTGCAGAAATTGGATTTAAAGATGACAAAAGTGGTATCAGTTGTTCAAGTCCAATGCAAAAAAAAAAAAAAAAAAATCTAAGGGGTAAGTGACCAGATTTGAAGTGGCAAAATGGGAGAAGATAAGAAATAGTGGTTGTATTTTGAACTTGTTATTGGTGTGTGTGTGTGTGTGTGTGTGTGTGTGTGTGTGTAATAAAGATTAGTGCCAGAAGTCAAGGGAACTGTGGTCATCTCACGTCCTGGCATGTAAGTAGCTCTAAATAAGTGTTGGATGCATTGAAAGCATGTGTTTCTCTTTATTTAAAAGTGATCATCCCTTGAATAATGACTTAACTACAGAGCCCATGTATCATGCAAACTTAATGAAAGTGTTCTGAGAGGTTTTTCAACAAAATTGCATTGAGAAGTAAATATTTACTTGGGTACAACTCATTTGTGAAATTAAGTCATCTTGATGAAATATATTTGATTATTTTTGTAACTAGCAAGCAATGTAATATCTGTGGAATTATACCATGTGAAGCCTTTCTAACTAATTATTTTACTTAGAAAATATAAACGCAGATTTTTTTTCTTAAAAAGGCAGTTACAGGTGAAACAAGCTTCTCAGCACCTCAGCAATATCTAGCAAGGATACTTGCAGCGCCTCACGGGGTACAATTAGGAACCTCTGAAGAGTAAGAAGCCATGGCTTCTTTGGTGCCTTCTCCTAGTTGCAAAGCAAATGTTGGGTCTTGGAATAAAAACCAAGTTCACAGTGTTTTAGAAAGTTTCCTGTTTGCCAAAGACAGAACATTCATAATGAAAGCAACGGCATGGGAGGTGTATGTAGTATGAAAGTCTCAGAGCTGGGCCAGGTGAGCTCGACCTCAGGCTTGCTTCGGTGCTGCCTGTCTCTTAAGGTACTGAAGGTTTCTGCGGGATGAGTCACTGCCAACTCAGCCCGGGGGCTGCCCTGGGAGCTGCCCTGGAAGCCAGCAATTCCTGTCACTATCTCTCCCACCCTAATCGGCCTCCACAGCTCTCACCCGGGCTAAATCTGCTCATTTCCCTCCCCACTTTGATCTCTTTTCAGCATCTTAACTAATGCTTGAAAATGTAAATCTAATGTTGCCTGGCCTCTTCTTTTAAAATGTTCACTGTCTTTCCATTTAGAAGAAAATTAAAACCTCTTATCCTGTTCTAAAAAGTCTCACCCAGTGCCTCTCAGCCCTGGTTTCATATTAGAATTATGAGGGGGGTAAACAATTCCTTTGTCCAAATTCCACTTCAGATCAACTGTCCTGATCCCTACCTGTGGGACCCGGGCACCAGTATCTTTAAACACCAACCTGCTGGTGATTCTTAGGTAAAGAGAAGGCTTGAGAACCACTGAGCTACCTTCTGTATAACCCTCCACCTAATCTCACATTACTGCCTGCTTGAAGGAGATATGCTCTGCCTGTGCTGAACTCTGTGGTCACACATGTTAGGGGTTTCAGATATGTTCTTCTCTCTGGCTGGAAAGCCTCATATTGGTCTGGGTACTTGAGACTCACGTAGTGAGTCTTGACCTATGTGCTCCTTCGGCTGGGAGGCTTCCTGGTTTGCTGTTTCCCAACTCCCTTGGTTTTTACCCTTTTAGGGACTTGGTTATTTATTGCACAGTATCATTTAACATTATGTGTAATTCCCTATTTCATTGTAAGGCTATTGTTTTAATGTTTGCCTTCCCCAATAGCCTGTGGCAGGAGCCTTATCTGGTTGGCAGACTTCACTTTTGGCGCTTATCATGAGGGCAAGACCACCATCAGTGCTCCATGAATGCTGGAGTCCAGGAGGGCAGCAGGTAGCCCAAGAGCAATGAGCTATGCCACCTACAAGCCAGCTGATAAGTCATTTTCTGTGTTAGTGGGGGGTTATTTCTAGGATCTATGGGTGCTTTGGTCCCTTCTACTTATGCATAACCTACATATATCCTCCCATATACTTTTAATCATCTCTAGATTACCTACGGAAATGTTCTGTAAATAGTTATAGCATGGCATCATCTAGGGAATAATGACATGAAAATACTACATGCAACTTTTAAAAACATTTTTTGGTCTGTGTTTGTTTGAATTTGTGGATACAGAACCCTTGAATACAGAGGACCAGAGGTTTTGGAAAAATCACTGGTCCCCGATTCTCAGTTTGAAATATGTTTGCTTCCTTCAGAATCATTGGAGATTCAAATAAGATGACAGATCAAAATCCACCATGCATACCGTAAGTATATTAAAATGCCCAATGTTTTCCTGACAGTCTGCTCAACTTAGTTGTAAATAGGGTCTTTCTTTGATAGATAAGGAAAATAATTCAGGGAATTGAAATCATTGCCTTACAAATTGTAAGCAGAGAATTGCCAAGTCATTAAACAGCCTGTCTCTTTTCTCTTCTACCCACTTCCCAACTTCACAGCCCAGTATGTCTATCCTCTCTTCTGTCTCCCCACATGGTATCAGCACCAATAACCTTTACTTGGTCTCACCCCCAGAACTACTACCATCTCACACATGCCCCTGCTATTGGAAATTACTTGACAGTGTTGGGTGTGCCAATGTGAGCAGACTCACTCCCTCAGACAGTGAGGGAAAGCAGACACCACACAGATCTGGCCCCTGCACAGCCTCAAATCATTCAGTTATCTCCTTCTCTAACTAAAAGAATACAGGATGGTAAAATGACAGGCGATTTGGTTCACAAGTGGGATTTAAGATCCTGACCCGTTTTTGATGAGGAGACAGGAAATACAAAATTCACGTTCATTTGATAGACACTCCTGAGCATTTACTGCAGTGAAAGCTGGCCTTTCCACCAGTGTTT